AAAGATAGATATTTTTTTATATTATCATCAACATACGAAAATATGTGAATTGATTTTAGCACGTTTGTAAAATTGCACGCTTTTTCCTAGCACATTATCAGGCGATATCAAAATGACTCTGATATCGATAAGTTATGCTAATTTTATTACAGTCATTATAGTCGTGTGTGATATACGTGTTTTTCTATCGCAAATTGAGATAAACTGCGTCGCTACTTGTTACGCTTTGCCCAGCAATGCAACATCATTAATGCTACTTAATAGTATACTTGATAGTTAATATTATTCTGTAGTTAGAAAAAAGTTCGAGTTGCTAAAATTACGCTCTCGGTCGAATGCATTTCAGTGCTGATGAAGAATCGTTTAATGTTATGCATAGCTTTACTCTAATATCTATGCTGACATACGGTCATTGATACAAATTAATAAGATACGTTTGTATACTCATCAAAAGAATGATCTGTGGCATTAACAGACTATTAAATTGACAAATTATGAAAGGAAAACTAATAATAATGCTCTCCCTCAGACCGATAATTATGAAGTGTAGTGTATTAAATCATAATTCTCTAAAACAATAATTATTTCCAAATTATATTATATAGGTACAGTTTAACAAATAAGCATTAAAAGATTGGTTCCATTTCAATTTATAAGAATTCTAATTTGCATTAAGTGATGAATGTTTGGTTTTCAAGAATTTTATACGAAATTATGATTTTGCATAAAATTTTTCAAAATGATAGAAATATATTGGGCGAATATGCACACTGATACGCATAGTTATCTGTACATGATTTTGTAGAGATATCTTTCGAATCATAAGCACAAATTAATCATAAGTATAAATTTATAATGAAATTTTTGCTCTAACAATTTGTGAAATTTATAAATTCTGGTTCTTGCCTTTATTTCAAAAATTAAAAGTATTATAGACTTTTATTTCTAGTGCTCCTAAACCTAGCCCAATTCACTGATGACTATTCATTTGGCATAACGCGATCGCATGTACTTACTCATGCTCCACATCGGTACATGAGCTTTTATACGCGCGTACGACTGCACACATGTAACGAAAACTTTGGTCCCGCCTACACGGGGTATATTTGTGACCGCGATGGCCGCTATCGGTATCTCCGATTCAACGGTCGGAGCCGTGCGATGAAGGTGGAGACGCGTCTGCGCGTCTCCGTGCCTCTCTCTTTCTCGCAATGCCTTTATTCGCTGAACAGCACCTCTCTTTCTCCGATGCGTAGACTATCATTTGATCCCCGCCACGGTACACGCGGCGAAATCCCCTCTTTAAGACCTGCGCGTTTCTTTCTCTCCGTTTTCTCTCCTCTGACTCCTCACGTCGTACCTTCATCAGCTCCCTACCCTCGACACGCGACGCGATACGTTCAACTTTGCGCGCTAAACGGATTTGGCGAGTAATCTTTTATAAAGTTTCAAAAATCCTGTTCATTTTCTTCAATTTTTATTTTCTAAATCATTCAAATAAACGCCCAAATAATCAAATAATCAGATTGACCCTGCAAATAAACTCCTCGTAGTCACCTCATAGTTACTCCATTCTCGCTCGATGCTTCCTAAGTCTCTTTATCTAAGGTTCGTTGCACAACAACATGGTTTGTTATAATTGTGCGACATTTTGTTTTCGAAAAGTAATTGTTAAATGTTACAACACAACGATAACGTGATACTTTGTATCTTCCGATCACGTGCGCTTACAATAACTTCATTTTTGGCATAAGTCCTTTAAATACTGAGTCGTTCCATCATGTCAAATATTCAGAGAAGGAAAATTTCTTCGCAAAACTTTTATTTAATGTATCATAAATTGGTTATTAATAAATAATCGATTTATGACGACTCTCCATTACTTAAATTATTTAAAATGCAAAATTGTACAATTCGCGTAATTGCTCCGTATTTTTAAACTGAAAGTGATAGGAAGAGATACGATTTAATCAACGGCAAATCCAAAAATAAATATCATGCTTACAAATAATAATCGTTCTTGCATATTTATCAAATGTATAGACGTAAATTAACCGCACTAATCGCGAATTGTTCATAGAAAATGTTTCGATAATAATGCGATAATGCGGAGCAATTCACGTGGTCTGCCTGCTCGAGTATCGCTTGCGAATGGTAGCACGGCGACCTTGTATATGCACAACAACCATATGCAACTCCGCGCTGCAAAAATAAACGCCAAGGCTGTGTTTCTTGCCGTTAGCAATTTGCTCCACGAAACCAATGTATTGTAAAATATCTAACGTATATTCTATAACCGAATATTCTCTGTCTATATTTTTAATTTCAACAATTAAATTGCCATCGCACACTTCTTGCTTTATCGTAATAATAAATTGGATATAAAGTGTGGGAATACAGTTCTATTAGAATTTTTCTTGCTTTTCGAGTTCCTTCTCTTTTTTTTTTGCGCAAATGCATCTCGGCACACCTCCCTTCTCGTGCCATATATTTATTCACCGCTCCTTTCGAAGGCCGATTCCTCGATCCGTCGCGGAGGACCGAATCGTCGAACGTACCATGGCGGTATTACGATCACTTCCTTGGAGAACGTGTATACGAGACAATAGAATGGCTGTGGGCGGCAATATGTGTGAGAATTTAATATCAACAACCCCGTTGCTTGGATTATCTCGCGTTTAGGGATGCTTGAATTTTATCGATACTTTTGTTCAATCGGATTTTCAAGATTGTTCAAGCAAACGTAGCAAAATATTATACATCGACATATATTCTTTTATATTTATTGGTTATTATTATAGATCGATATATTCTTTATTTTCTTTGAGCATACTAACTTGCGACTTCGATCAAGAGAAACTGATAATAAGTTAATAAAAATATTAAAGAAGAGATACGTAAAAATATATAAAATAGAGAGAGAGAGAGAGAGAGAGAGAGAGAGAGAGAGAGAGAGAGAGAGAGAGAGAGAGAGCAATTTTAAATAGTTCATTTCCGTCCGAATGAATATGTGTCATGTTCATGGACATGTCTGTATTTAGCTAATGATATCAGTTTTCTCTAAATTTTGCAGTGCAAAACGCGCCATATTCTATGCATCGCGCTCAAAAAGGTTGCATAGATATGGTGAGACTGCGCGTATTCTTAAGGAGATGCGTATCCTAACAATGAGACGCGTGGGCGGTACAGGATTCACGTACCAAAATGGATAGGTGTACGAGAGATACCGATATGTCGGACTACGTGTACTATTTTCGTTTCTAACAATACGCGAGATAAATTCTTGACGTGCCGCAATAGACGCGCTGGTATTAACAAAGATCGTGAAACACTGTGAAATCCATATTGCATAATAAAATCGCGTAACACGCGCGCGGAAATTGTCTTTCAGCTATAATTGCCAATTATTGCAAGCAAAAAGACTTACTATGTATTCGCTCAAATATCTCGACTGTTCGTAATGAGGAAACCCCGAATTAATACCTGGATCGTTTGATGAGGAATCAGGATCCAATCAATTAAAGTTCAAAAATCGCCGCGATTGAAAATGTTATCGAAATCAATCAGAGTGGAGAGAAAACACGCTAAAATAATGAATTTGTCAAAGAGTAAACCGGCGACCAAAACCATGCACACCACCAATGCCCAGTGGGCATTATCCCATCTCATCCCATTTTATCGTATCTCCTATTTCATCCCTACAAAAACGAACAATACCCCAGCAAGATCTAATGGCCAAACTAATGCCCAAGAAAATACCCAATAATGCCCAGCAACGCCGCTAATGTCTGTACACCACAATACCCTCAGCGGTTTATCCCTCGGGATTTGTCGAATAAAACATGCCATATTTAAACTGCCAGAAAATATTTCACGTTACAGGTAAAGCTATAAATACCCTTTCAGTTAATATTCTCATTGCCCGTCGTAATAAATTATTCAAAATTTAACACTGCTCGGCCGTGTAAGCCGAAGGACTTCTAGTTTTCCGATCCGCGATCAGGAAAGTTCCTTTGTACGGACAGACAAGACAGGAGGGGCCCGACGGCGATCATGACAGGATTCGACATTTATTCACGACCTGCATCCTTGGTCTCATGGGCGGCCCGTGCCGCATTTGCTCGTCGTCTTACATGACGCTCGGCGGGATCTCAATATGCACGGCTTATCGGCTTTAAAGGGATCATTAACATTATCTGTTGCAGGATGTATTATTGCCGCTTCCATATTACCGGCGTAACGATATATCTTTCCGTAGTAGCGAAATGAGATTGCGGCAAACCTTTAGCGCGCAAAGTATTTGCCGTCGTACTTTGCGCTTTTGCACTTGTATTTTGTATTGTCGGCATCGACTAAAGTGATTATACGTTTATAAAATTAAGGGGAGTTTCGCGTCATAGCTGCTTTATTAATAAGATGACTAATTATAATTTACGAATTATTCGAGTGCATCTCTGGTAGAAATGTCATGCATTTTTTGCGCAGTTACTAGACAGATGCATTAACTTTTGTCCAGTAACTGAGAAGTAAAACTACTTGCAATTACCAATCAAGATGTAACGCTTTTCTTACAATTACTGCACGTAAAAGATGCGCAAAATCTGAACCCAATTACTGAACAATAAGTATTTTAATAAATAATAATCTATTAATACTCGACAATAACTAAGCAAACTGCATATATTTTTACCAGAAAAACTGCCTCAGCACTGGCAAATAAAATTCTATCAAGTTTTCGTCCATTTTCTATGCAGTATTGTTAGAACTAACGAGAATGCAGTAATACTAGACAGTAACTGGAAGGGTGTCTAGAGAAACTGCATACACATTTCTACCAGGGATAAATGACAATCGATTATAGTTGTTAAAAATCTTGCTAAACTGCAAGATCTTCACAACCTGCCAAAAATACACTCGTATATAAGCAAGTTGTAATAATTACGCGAATTCGAAAGTTTTAGACGGAGATGTTACTAATTTTCGATGTAATATATCGGCAGATGCCACGGTGGTAGCTCTCGAGGAGGATGTTCCACGGGGGCGGAAGTGGCGGGTACGGCGCAAGTTCCGATTACCAACAACAATCCCAACAACAACAGCAGCAACACGGGCAGCAGCTTCAGTCACCCGTCTACGTTCCATCGTCTAGACCGGCGATACCGTCCGCAGCCACGGCAGCGCAATATCACTCCTTCCCTACTTCGTCCTCGCCCGCATGGTAATAATCTTCGAAAGATTATACGCGCGCCACGCGTGCCTCAAAAAAACTTCTACGTGAAAATACGCTTGTTGCTTTCAAGGGAAAAGACGGCATCCTGGCAGCACGGAGTGGAAACGTATGCGCATCACGCGCTCGCTGGACATACGAGCGGTACCGCGGCGGCAATGGGGCCGCATGCCGGACCTGGCCATCCGCATGCGGGACATCCGCACGCGGCGCATCCCCATTCGACCCTGGCCGCGGCCGCGGCCGCACCGTTCTACGCGCAGAACGTCGCGATGATGTCCTCGTGGCGTGCCTACGATAGCACTGGCTTTCAACGCGCGTCGCCTTATGGTTCGTACATGCAACTTTTTTTTATATAAATGTGTTCCTCGCGCATACCTGTCATGTAAGTCTCCTATTTTACCCGGTAAACAGGTAGGATCACGGTTCGACCAGGTAAATACGAGATATTTATATTTCTCAAATAGAATGAGAAGAATAAAATTTCAAATTTTAATTGTCCTCAGCTTGCCACATTTATTGAATACGCCTTCACAACGTTTCGACCTTTGGTTAGACCCTTATCAACTGAGATCTAGGAGTAAATGTTTTATATACAATTTACGTGACAAGTATAAACGAATTGTACAGTATCGCAGAAAGATTGTCGGGTTACCTTGTTACGGAGTTTGTCAAATCAAATTACAGCCATTTGGCGAACGATATTCAGAAATAAGAGCCATTTCACTAACGTCCGGAGTCGATGATTGTAAGACTATACGTTAACCTACCGTACATCAGAAACAGATCTCTGAATATGAAAATAACTAATCAGTCTTTGTCTTACAATCATCGACTCCGGACGTTAGTGAAATCGCTCTTATTTCCGAACACCGTTCGCCACATTGTGGCTGTAATTTCATTTGACAAACTCCGTAACAAGGTAGCCCGACAATCTTTCTGCGATACTGTACAATCCGTTTATAAATTGTATGTAAAACATTTACTCCTAGATCTCAGTTGATAAGGATCTAACCAAAGGTCGAAACGTTGTGAAGGCGTATTCAATGTGGCCAGCTAAGGTCGATTAAAATTTGAAATTTATTTATATCAATATACTGGCAATCTGATGAAATATACCATTAGAATGAGAAGAGTTACTGAAACAGTCGTCTTGAAAAAATCTTAAATCTTAAACAATACACTGAAAAGAATTTTCGCTACCGTAGCTAATCATGATTTACTAAAATATTTTGCTGCATTAACCATAAATTTCTAAACCACAGCAAACGGTTTGCTGTCGCACCTAATACAATAGGCATATTTTACAACTGAAATTTAGTTAGCACATGCAGTTTTCAGCTACGGCAGCTACATTTTTTTCCGTGTACTGACAAAATAAATATCAATAATTTGTATATCGGTGTGACTGTATTAAGCAATATTATATTACAGGCGTTTACGCTATCTTTATTCATTGGGACGTAAAAATATCACTAATGTAGCTGGATTCCATTAGCCTTCCCTGCCATACTTAAAATTTGCTCGTGGTGGCGCGTGAAAACGGAGGTGCTCATATCGCTTTTCGTTGGCGTGCATCACGCGTGAAGGCGCAATGATAAATAAACAAAAGTTATGAGAACTACCCGTATGCCGCGGCGATAAGATACGTAGGCATGCAATTTCCTATGGCGCTGATTAGTTTATCGAAACCGCAGACGATATCACGAACGGAGTTCTCGCGAGGGAGTAACCGTGGAATTCTCAAGCGGAGTGTTTCTGTGCAACTTGAAACCTTCTGGTGAAGCCATTATTTTCGTGTCATCGATGGCATCGAGAGACAAGGGCCTTCTAATCGAAACTTTCCAACCGAATCGTGCAATAATAGCGATTGCTTGACGAAATTATCTTGTTTAACTTTTTATAAAATTGTATAGGTAGATATCAATCTATGTGAATCTTTTAACGATATACGACAACGAAATACCATGTTAACGCGCGTGAAAAGAAGCATTTAACTTGGCGATTAACGCTGACCTCGTGACAGCACCGCTCGAAAAAAAAGAAAAACTTGCCGAAGCAAAGAGAAAGAAGTTACTTTCCTTCGCGGATGCTATTCGCCGCCGTGCATACGGCGGGCCATGTGCGATGAATAAGTGATAGCGGTGCCTTTGAAGTGAGCCGGGTCGATCCCGCGGTCAAGTGTTTTACAGCGTACCGACGGGGAATCGGTTCAGAAAGCCAGCGCGGGCGGATGCTTCCTCTGGAGAGTGTAGGAACGGAAAGTTCGTCGCGTATTCCCTGTTATGCTTTGCCGTCTAACTTTAAATCCCTACGGGCCTCCTCGAAACATAGATAAATTATGAAGAACGGTCTTACCGCGTCAGTTTGGTCAATTCATTTGGATAAAGAGGATTCTGGAGTTTCAAAAAAAAAAATAACATTAGCATTCGAGAAAACTTGAAAAAGGTGACAGTGGAACTGACGTTGTCGTACATAATGAAATGTAAATCTCTTACTTTCCGCGCTTTATTACTTTTAAATTATCTCTAATATATGCATCATTGGAATTTCTTGCTGTATTGTTTCAGAATTTGCAATTTGTAGAAAACTAATTTTGACTTTTGGTTTGGACTTTTGGTTTAATCTCAATAAACGTAAAATTAATCGACCCAATACGAAAATGATTACAGACACCGCGATGGATTTCCAGTTTGGTGAGGGTCGCGAGTGCGTAAATTGTGGCGCGATATCGACTCCGCTCTGGCGAAGAGACGGCACTGGCCACTATCTTTGCAACGCTTGCGGACTTTATCACAAAATGAATGGCATGAATAGGCCGCTCATTAAGCCCTCGAAACGCCTGGTAAGTTCATCCGCAAATGATTGTAATAAAACTTCACCAATATACCTACACACATGTCACTTTGCAAAGAGTCGTATTTCCACGTCGTGGTAAAGTGACATGGTGTTGTATTCGCAAAAGAACTGACTTTTAGCGCTACCTTTTAATATGAGAATATTATTAACCTGTTGTAGATTTTACCTTTGTATGTATATCAAGCTCTTTCACATGCTTCATATTAATAGAAGCTTTTGAAAACAGATTTGAATTTTTTAATTTTTCCGAAAAAATACTATTTAATCGCGATAATTGCATTCGTATAACTTGAATTATTTTGGCGTGCGTTACAAATGGGACAGATGTCGGAATTTCAGACCGCGACGAGGCGACTCGGGCTGTGCTGCACAAACTGTGGCACCCGCACCACCACCTTGTGGAGGCGCAACAATGAAGGCGAGCCAGTGTGTAACGCTTGCGGGTTATATTTCAAATTGCACGGAGTCAATAGACCGCTAGCCATGCGAAAGGATGGTATACAAACAAGAAAGAGAAAACCGAAGAAGACCCCAGAGCAAAATGCTAGATCGTCCCAGGGAGACCATGAAACCACTGCCTCGACTACATCCTCCCCTTCCACAGGTTGCTAAATGATAAATTGCTCTTTTGTCTCTTGTGTGGCAGATGTGTACAAAATATAAAACTCTAAAGTAAAACTAATAAACTTGTATTTTGTTTGCTGAGGACCTTGTGGTGTATAGATTTTCGGCATTAATGGGCGTGTTTGGGCATTACTTTGGGCATTGTAGAGATAAAAGAAGATAAATAAGATAAAGTAATGCCCACTGAGCATTAGTAGACATGGGTGTAGATAATTTTGATTATATAATCAACGGTTTGCCCCTCGATACATAAGTAAATAAAAGAAGCGATAACTGTAGTAATTTTAATCGCTTACAATTAAAAAAAAAATGTTCTCTTCAATTTTATGCATAAAAGTAATTGCTCTCTTGCGTCTTGTATTTATCAAGTATTTACGTGGACTGCTCCGATTTCTTAATTTTTTACAACTTTACTTTTAATGTCGTGATTATTTCTCTACAGATTTGAAGAATAATCAACAACAGCAACAACAACAGCAGCATCAGATCGAGGTGCCAAAGTCATCGGGCTCATCGACATCGACCGATAGACCCGTTTATCTCGGGCATACTTCTCTCCTGGCCACTGGAAGTGTACCTGCTGTGAAAACGGAACCACGGAGCTGCGACGGCATCGTTAGTCAGCCGTACTCTTATTATCAACACCCTCATCAACTCGCTGTCACCAGTGAACATCAACAACAGAGCTATTACGGCACCCAGGAGGCGCCCTATCATCATCAACATCATGTCACTACAGCAGCGAAGTTACTCGCGTCTTCGTAATTGTTTAGCAATTCAAGTTTGTTCGCTAGAATCGCTTTGAAAAGAAATTTATACATGGAAAGAACATTTTTCCGATATTGAAGGATCCGCCGAGAAACTTGTACGGAAGATCGTAATGTTTCTGATAAGAATTTAGAATTGACAATTGTGATTGGAACTTAAACCAATTATTTGGAAAAAGAGCAAGAGAGACAAAATTAACGGTTAAAAAACTTCTTTGACAAGTGTGTGAAAGAAAATTTCTTTTACAACATGGGACTAGTCAGTGACGTGCAAATTGCTTTAAATTCAAAAAAAAAATCTGCGGTGATAGAAGCTGAAATAAAGTATGAATCCAAGAGAAGAATACCACTTCTCGAAAAAGTAAGTTTTCAAGAAAGTGATTATCTTCACATAAAAATCTGTGCGCGAACGCTTTAGCGTGTAATAAATGATTTGAAAAGAGGCGACATATCATCAATGTGTCTTAAAAATCTTTAATTTTAAACGTGTCGTTAATAGGCAGGAGGAGAACTCGATCTCTAGTCAATGACAGGGATTATGAAAAAGTTATGAAAGACGACGCGTATTGAAAATTATTTCGCTAGTTTAGCGATAAGGATTGGAATGTTAATATGAAACGTAGCACATTTTCATATTTAACTTGGCGCTTCTTACGTTTAAATATTCGATACATGTAAATAGCTGAATTACAATTAGTGCAAGAGTGCTTCCTGGTTTGATAAAAGCGCAAGGATACTTAACAAAAATAACAGATTATTGGCAAAGCTCGTGTGCAACAAATACATAGACAAAAGTATTTCGGCATTTGAAGAGCGATACAACACATCGCGCTTGTCACGCTGTTTTTTTTTAGTCTTTTAATCAGATAGTATAACATTTCAACTTCAACTAATTATAAAAGAATAAAATGCCTCCGTTATTTAAGTGTTGAAATAATATTTTTACTGTATCGATTATCCTATAATTTTTTGTTACACAGCAATTGCTGCACGCGGAACCAGAGTACTTAACTGTAAATAATCTTCATGGTAAACTATTGCAATATTAGAAATAGATAGACTCTTTCGGCCTCGACGATTTCATTGCTTCGTTTACTGTCATATACTAGATTAGGACATTTACTTGTAACTCTCCATGATTGCTTGAAACACACATTGAATTATTCTGCATGAAATGTTTTTCTTAAATGGTCAAAAAAGTAGGTATACTTTTTACCTTTCGTACTTGATTTATCGATAAGCATCTTTATAATTATAATAAATAAGCAAAATAAGTACAAATTTTTTATTGCAGTAGATGAAGTTAATTTCTCGAGGCACGAATACATTATTATCAGATTTAGCCATAAATCCTGCACGAATACAATAATGATTCACTTCGAAAAATAAGTAGAAGTCTGATGAGCCATTCTCATAATTTATTGACTCGAAGCCATTGCTACGGTTTCTTGATGAATATGTTTAGTTAATATTAAGCAAGAATAAATTTTGTTTTTGTGTATAGTTCCTCTGTAAACCTACTTTTGCGATGCGCAATAAATAATTTTACTCCATTAAGACAACAGAAAAGTTGCGTTTCTTTTTCCAAGCTAAAGAAAGAAAGATACTATTCGAAATAATATGGTGAAAACTTAATGCTGAGTAAAGGCTAAATCAATTATATTGCACTTCTTTAATACTTTCAAATTTCTCGCAACAATAGCAATATTATAGGATAATTTGGAATTTCCTTTAAACTTTTGTACTTGGAAAAATAAATTATTGTATAATATGCAATTGATGTTGGAATGAAGTACCTTATATAATAACACTGCACATGCTATTTGTAAAATCGAATGCCTTTCTATAATATCTTTTTACATAATTGTATTGCCGATAAATAAAAGAAAAGTAAAACTTTTCTGTTGAATCAAATTTAAAACATTTATAATATACGCGGAGATAAGAAATTAAACTGTCAAGTTTTATTTAGCGTATTTTTATGCATCATCCAAGCATCTCAAGATATTGTAAATTAAAAAATAAAATCTTTTCTAATAAAAAGCTTGCAATTTTACCTCTGTGAAACAAATTTTTATTGAATATCGCTGCGCTTCCTTTTTCTTACAAAATTAAAAATATTATAATTATCATTTTCTTTTTACCGTGCGGAAGAATATGGCTGTCTTTATTCTGGAATAATTTCACGATCGAACAATGGTGTCACGCCCGATCAGTCTATCGCAAATATTATCTTTCCGCGTTTTGACATTTGAAGTGACATATCGAACAAATCCAACTCACCTCCGTCCATTCCCACCACCAATGAGTTAAGCCTCCCTCAAACAGGGGTGCTTTTCACGCCGTGGCAGAGTTGGTCTTCGTTCGCGAACCCGGTCGGACACGATCACCTTGATCAAAGCACGAGCATTGTGCGAGTCATATTCAAATCGCAAAAACGTACTCGATTTTACGTAATCTTGAATTTATTGCAGTGAAATAAAAAAAATGGGTAAATATCCGATTATTCAATCACAGATTTCGATGGTACGACTACGTGTAGTATAAACTGCTTGAAAAATATGAGTAACTTGCTCTTCATAAAGTTAATTGTAACATATAAAATTAATCTCGACATAAAATTCTTAGCTAAACGATAACATTTCTCGTAACAGGAAGAACTCTGCCTACACCAGTGTCTTGTAGAGTATGTGGTGATCGATCATATGGAAAACATTACGGCGTTTATTGCTGCGACGGTTGCTCGTGTTTTTTCAAGAGATCCGTGCGTCGCGGTGCTCTGTTCACTTGCACAAGTTTGTACACTTTTAATAGAAGTTGTAGAATATACAGAACAGTGTATTAAAAGAATAATACCAGGAGACGCTACGTAAGTATCACGTTATGATATCGTATCAATGATTAGACCTGATAATCCTTTAGATAGCGATGGATCCTGCACCGTTGACAAAGCTAGACGAAATTGGTGTCCACATTGTCGTCTAAAGAAATGTTTCTCCGTTGGCATGGATACAACGGGTACGTAAAATTTCTTATATTTTCTCTCTCTCTCTCTTTCTCAGTAGGTCAAATTTTTATTTTAGAATTGCCATAAAACAAATGCTAACTATAGACGCATTTTACGTTTGCGTAAAGAGCATGTTATGAATAATGTTTATGTGCTATTTGCATAATTAAATTCACATTATTCTTCTTCTAAAATTTATTATAATTTGTTATAACTGTGACTCTCGTAACCAAATTAATCTAATCTATCATTTAGTTTCGTTCTGATTAATATTAAATTAAATCGATATAGGATGTCTTTTATGAAATCTCCTACCGAACATAAAATCATCGCCGACAAGTAAACATAGTAAGGTGCTAACGAACTCAACGAGATGCAAACAATGGCGTGTGCTAGACACGTGCCTCTACCCTTACCGCTATTCAGAAAAGTTAATTGACAGCGGAATTATAATCTCGACAATCGATGTTAATATAATATTTATCTTCATTTATCTTGAATTTTTTCTTTCACAATATATATTTTAACTTCGATATTAATGACAAATACCGCGTTAAAAAATTAACAAAAGACCTAAGAGTTTTAGAAATAACTGCAAAAGGCTAAATCTGTTATAAGTAACGAACACAAACTGCGATAGCCATCTTGCGTGGATAATCTTGCAAATAATTTAGTAGTAGACATTGCCACACGTGTCATGTAAAACGACATCGAGTGTCAACTCCGGTCGTCAGCTCTTAAATACACAAAGCTTACTCTGTGATCGGACAACTAAAGCTACCCTACTAGAATTGTCCAACTACACGATTGTTATATACATCTTCATATATCGATTATAATAACGGTACAAATGTAAAATAAGATCGTTTAACAAAATTAAAAAATTATAAGTTTCACAAAAATCCCTCATATAAAAATATTTGAACAAGTTACTCTAACTGAAGCATATTTCCATTTTATAAGACAACATTTAAACAGTAATAAATAATTAAAAACACAGTTCATTATAAACACGAATAATTAATTGCTTATCGACGGGAGATATTTATTTTATGCTAAAATAAAATATTTTGTTATCCGGGGGGGGGGGGAGGGCAAATGCTCAAAGTACCAGAATAAACTGGATAAAACAGGTTTGAAGCCTACTACACGAGGAAGAATTTACTGTTGAATTTTTAAAGCAAATATTTTCACAGCGGTGCAGGAAGAACGAGGGCCGCGTGCACGAAATAATGCGCTCTCAAATTCGCATAATTCTAACATCACCTGGAAGCCTAGAGCCGATTCATCAACGACCTTTTGTTCACGCTTTAATAATGCCGAGATATATTTGCCTTTCAAGAATTCCACACTAAATAATACTTTAATGACGAAGACGTTACGCGAGTCTGAAGCCAGAGAAAATATTTTCTTTCCTGTCATGTCGCGCCAGCCGACGAGGATTATATCGCCCGGTAATTTTCCTTGAAATATTTAAGTTTTATCCAACTCTCGACAAAATCTATTCAACCACTGCTATTACGAGACATATTCTATATATTTTTCTTACGATAATTTAATTGGATTTTATGTTGCACGCAGGTACGGCTATACAGTATGAAATATCTGCACAAATATTCCTGGCTGCTATTCGGAACGCACGTCGCCATCAAGACTTTTCGATGCTGAATGTGGAGGAACAAAACAAGATGCTTCGTCGCGGATGGTCCGCTCTTTTTGTTTTACGTGCAGCCACGTGGCCGATTGATTTGATGAACGTACGAGGACAAGGTGCGACGAGTAACGACAGTGCTTCAGCCTGCATAATCGCAACGCGCACCGCTATCGCAAAATTGCAACTCGACGATATCGAACTATGCATTTTGGACACGTTTGCACTGTGTCGTCCCGGTAAATAAAAGCTGAACAGTTGTCTTGTAACTTTTCGATAATGCATAACAGTTGTCTTGTAACTTTTCGATAATGCGTGTGTAAAATTTCTCGGTGATTAAAGTGCGATTACTGAGCGGTATCTTTCTAAATTACAGAGATCGCCGATACTACCAACGGTTTCCACGTAATGTCACAAGCGAGAAATAATGCTGTGGAAGCTCTAATACGACATCTTCAACAGCGAGACGATCGCGAGAGCAAACTGGCGAAGATTCTATTTGTCCTACCACTTCTTACCGGATGCTGCTCTCGAGAATTGGCCGAAGAATTGTTCGCACCAATTATCGGCGATACAGATCTGGAAAGAGTTATCGCGTCTGTGCGATAAATCTTTCGCAACAATGAAAATATTTAGTCGATAATCGCACATTATCAGATCAGATTTAATAGATATTAATCTGTATAAATCGTCCTACTTACAATTAACTATGTAATGATCAATCAAAAATACACAAATTACAATAGAGTGAATTAAAATGAAAGATTGACGATAGATTCCTGTAATTATTCTCACTCTAGTTTAATCGACACTATCACCATTTTATTTGCAAAAAGAACACAACAGAACTCATTCACTTTTCTATTTACGTTATATAAAATATATCCTGCCTATTATTTGGAAAATCAATCGATCGTAAAGCGTTTTAATTTCTATCGATAGAACTCAGAAAGGTGTTGGACTCATGCCTTCCAAATGGATGAAGATATTATAACACACGTTACATTCTTTATCATCCGAGATTTATCCGCGAAGAAACCGCGATACATCTTTTATTGAGAACCAGATTAGTGATCCTGAGGGGAATTGATATCATTGAAATTTTTACTTATACTGTAATAACTCTAGGGAAAATTTTGTATGAATGACTTTATTATTGAAGCTAAGTAAGATGAAGCTAAAAAGAAGCTAAGAAGCTTCATTAAGACGATAAGAATGTCATTACTATTTCGTAAAAATTGAAACATATGGTAATAAAATTTTAGCCGTTACTCGTAAAGAATAACCATATAACCGCGAAATAATTCACTCGTGTATTCCTTGAGATATAAAATGTACTCTCTTTTACAGTTGATATATTGTATAAAAAATAAGAATCGTAAAAACTGTATGGTTTCATTAATTATTTTTATAAATAGATGTTTAGCGAAATTTGGCTGAGTGTGTGGGTAAAGTTAAAAACATAAAGTTATTAGATTAAATAGATTATAAGATTCAATATCTAATTAAGAAAAACGAATGGCGATGATCGCAGAGTGGATGTAGAAATAGCAGATTTCTCCGAATTTTTACCATGGGCAAACATGAACAAGCAGTTGGATTATTAAGGCCTGTGTCCACGAGGCTAGAACTTGGTCCAAGTTCTAGTTTCGAGAAATGTGTAGCCAATAAACTTGCAGCTATTCCATAAAAGCTGCTTACACCGAATGACATATTTGAATTTAGATCGCAATCGTCACGTGATTTCCAGTATCGACTGCGAGAGCAAGCAACCGTCCGTTTGCGTAATAATAACGATGTAATAAAACAATGTTTTAACAATGTGTGGTGTAACACTACTTGTAAGAAATAATAGTTGGACGTGCCAAGGTACGCGAAAGGCAAGCACCGCAAATTATTGCATCGCAGGAATAATGCAGTGGCATTTTGATGCCTACAGACTGGTGTCTACAGACATGACGCATAAAGTTTGAGAATTTAGTTTTTTAGGGTTGGCAGCGTTGCATCGCTTGCATCGCATCCGAAGCTGTACAACCTTACCTGTGAGGCTTTGTCTACACAAGAGCTCCAGAATCAATTCGGAGTTAGTCACTCCTGTCGACTCTTTATACTGTTTTATACTGTACAATTTATTATACAAGCGTTTTATATCAAGTATTACAATTTCCGGAGATTGTAATTTTTTAGCGATGCAATGTACGAAGCTTTCATTAACGGATACCGTTTGGCTGAAGTGTCACATGGCAAACCCTATTATGTTTACTGTATCGAAATTTTGGAGTCAAAGACTGACACTCGATATTTCATCGAGAGAAGATACAGCGAATTTAGTGCATTACATCGTAAGGTACGTTACAGAAATGCTAATCACTGATAATTGTGTGATACAACAAGAAAATACTCTGGGATGATCAATTATAACCACGACAAAGAACTTTTTTAAACAAATGGAACAACGTCTTGGAAGTATGTATGTTAAAAATGTTATTGACAGTAAAGCAATAAGGTTACCACTTGAAGACTCACAAACCTGTGGCTTTGATAAAAATTAAGTACTGATGCTTGATGATTTCATCCCGGATAGTTAAATGTGTCGAAAACAGATTTTGCAAAATGTTGCGACAAAGTTCGGCAGAATACCAGCAGATATGTAATAGAATTCGCTGAATATGATGGCTGGGAAATATGATGACAGGCAGAATCTACTATTTTGTAATCGTTTAAGTGATATATTTCATTTAAATGGATACGAAATAAGAGATTCCGCTTAATTTCTGCTGAAAATCCGCCGTCTTTTTATGCCCGCACGCTATACTGGCAAAACGCGAACTTAATGCATTAATACCAATCTGCCACGATCTTCTGTTCTAATTTATTAATAAACTGCCAGCATACTGCCAATATTTTGCTTACTATGTGTGTCACGGATATAAACTAGTGAGATAGCATTGTGGTCGTTTGTAAAAAATTGACATCGACAGACTTTTCTTTTCTTAAGATATTTTCATTATAAGTTACGTTTTTGAAATATACTTATTGAATAATAATATGTTATGCAAAAGCATTTGATTCTCTTTTTATTCTTTTTCAGTTAAAGAAGGATAGTTTGGATATTGCACCTTTTCCACCAAAGAGGGTAAGAAACTCGCAACCAAAAGTATTGGAACAACGACGAGCTGCATTGGAATTGTACATTCAAAAAATGCTAAGTTTGTTAGCAACAAAACAACAAGTTCTCAATTTTCTGGGTATAGAAAGTCAAGAAACTGCGTTCCATCAAAGGTATGTGTCTAAATGAATTAAACGTATAGAAAAGAACGATACATCGTGGCAAAGCTAATGATGTTATCAACTAATTTCGCCATTTTTAACTTTTCAAGTATACATAAAGCTGCGGACAGTTCATTGCATAATCATCCAAATACTTTGGGGCATCATCCAGTTTGGACTTTTCATCGTGATCCATACATCCCATCTGACTCAACTAGCAGTCTTTCAGATATTGTAACTAATGGTGTATTATTAGGTATATATAAATCTTGATATTGTGAATAATTACGAACGCGCGAGGGTGAAACAATAAGAATAAGATACACTTTTGATAGCAGTACAAAAGCCCACCCAACTGAACAAAAAAGTAGTGATAGTAATGCGCAAATAACAAAAGTTTTGAAAATAAAATTGACTTTTTGACAATGGTATGTACCAATGTAAACAGAATTAACAAAGTTAATTTATTCATTTTATACATATAACAGAATCTCGTTTATGTAATAATTTATAGCATATTATGTAAAACTCTAAGCATCATATCTGACAATTGAGCAAGCGAAATGTTGATGTATAAAGTTCATGTAACTCATTAACATTTAAACCTAAAAGACGAACTGGTATGTAAAATTTGTTTGCAGATAGATGCGTACTCAAAATGAAATTATGTGTTTGCAGGTTTAATTAGTATTGATCATTCCAAAGAAGTTGTGTCGACTTTTGATCTGACAAATATGCAATGTTATGTATATGTATAAAATATTGTATAAAAGGAAATTAAATTAAATGATGCTATTATATTTTTAACTCTACATTACTCACGTACCCTAGTAGCACAATTTATTGGCTATACATATATATATTATAAAATTGTAATATTGGATATAGAATAAATGCTAATGTAACGTCAATGTTACGTGTCAATAATTGCACAGTATTTCGTTTATATTAAAAATGCATTGCAAAAATATGTGGTGGTCCTCTTTTCTTTGCAATGTGATTTTTACGATTTTATTGTTAATTTTATTTTTCTTGTAAAATTAAAAATATAATATCTTTGGAATTCAATATTTCTCTCGACGTTACATATGAAATATTCGGTACACATACAATAACATGAAATTCTTGCAATGTAAAATAAATACATATTGCATGTTTCGGATAAAAAGTATCCCGAATGTATTTAGTCACGATCTCTTAAAAGTAAATCAAATCTACCAAAATTTAAAGTAAATTTAAAGTAAAAGCTTAACAAACGCATAGCAACTTCCATGTTATTATGTGCATCCGATTGCATATTCAATATTACATTTTTCTAATTTCTACAACTAATGTTGTAAAATTTAAAATAAATATAACAAAATTATGTAATGTTTCTAATATTATTTACTATTATTAAATTACACTAATTCTTTTAGTGTAATTTAATACATTTGATTAAAAATATAATAACTTATAAAATTTTTATTAAAAGTATATTTCCTTAGAAATATATTTTATTTAAAGTATTTTATTAAAAATAATGACAAATATAATTATATTTAATAGTAATGCATTGCAGTAATAATTTTATCTATCTTTTTATTTATCGAGTGTCTCCCTGTCCCTGCCTGCCCGAATCCCTGCCCGCCCGTATTCCGATGTATAATCCTATCCATTTCCCTACCTATCCGTGTTTCAGTTTTTTTAATAAACCTAAAAGTCTTTTATTAAAACCGCGACGCGATTTATAAAAGGTTCGATTTTGATTTATAATACGTGCGCGATTGGGATTTAATAGAGGTCTTTTCAATCTTGCACACATACGCGAGAATACATAAAAAAGAACAACCCACCCGAATTTTGACAAATAAAACAAATTATTTTATACATTAGAGTGGCCAATATTGACCAATTACTCCGTAGTATCCAGGCTTCCTTCGTTGGGCCAGATTGGACATACCTTTCGTTGTTCCTGGCCGTACAGTCTGATCATTTTGACCAGAGATCAGGAAGGAAGAAAACTTCTTCCCCATAGTCGGTTATCGTTACCGACAAATATTTCGTGTACGGTTCGAATATACGAGTGTCGATCGAATCGGAAAATGCACGACCACGCGCCGTTAATTAAAGAAGAATATTAATTCAAAAAACTTTACTGTATATACGAATCAAATTTATTTTTACTTCTGTTATTTAAATGTATTCAAAATTGTATTAAAAAATATCGACCTTCTCTTCGTAACTTGATCTTTAAATTCGAAATTAAAGTAGACATAGACAGAAATTTACCTCGCGTTAAAGTGATTTTAATCATATTCCACGATAAATTAAAATATATGTGGATAAAATTAAACAATTAATAATTTCTGAAAATTTTTTCTTAAAAAACCGATCGCGAAAACCGACCGCGGAAAAGATGCGTGTGACTATGCTCGTTTTCATGCGAGACGCATCTTAAAAGTACGTATATCACGTATGTATATACGTACATAAACAGAATATACATATGATGTGAGATCCCGAAAAACAAAACTTCTTTCATTATTCCAATCGATATTATAATTAATTAATAACAGCAAATAACATAGAAAAATAAGCGAAAATTTCAGTGTTCTCGATAAAATAGATTAAAATCTCACATCATATTATTAATTTATACATATCAACTTGTTAATAAAAATGGATAGGCTCGACGAATACATCATCGCTTTCACTCCTCTCCGGAGATTTAATATTTAATTGAAATTAAATAAATAAATAATGAAACATTAAATAAATAATTTTATTGCCGTTAGCACTTGAGACCTATTCACTTTAAGGCAACAAATATACGAAATATATAAATCTACCATCTACCATCTACAATCTACGTTCTACGAGATTTGTATATTTGTTGCCCCAATAAAAAAAAGTTGTCGACTTACCGACTCGACGCGCAGCAACGGAGTTTAACTATGTTGAGTCTGTAACAAATAATTAGAAAATTTACATCGATACCGAGAATTCAACAAGGCCAATATTGCAGAAAATAATTTTTAAATTATTCAAACTAAACAAGACAAAGATAAATTTTATACAAAATAAGCGATATTTACCTTAAAGTTGCTCCGTTGTTGCCCGATGCCTCCTGGACCGCTGCCTCCTCTCAGATTCCTGCACGTAGTGGACTGGCACTGGCACAACACGACACTCGCGAAAGAAAAGCTAACTCCCGAAGTAAACGCACGACACGGCACTCCCGGCGTTAATAGACGCGGACGTCACTGCAACGAAAACGAGAGACAATTGCGCGACATGACGGAAACGTTCCGGCGGGGAAGGACTCGCGGAGACGCGCGAGGCTAAGGCTGATTGGCAGAGAACAATCCGTAAACGCTTGAGACTGTCTCAGTCGTAGACGTGGGACAAGGCAGAAAGAAACGTAAGTCTCGTATACAATAGCCTTTCACGACTTACGTTTCTCTCTGCCTTGCCCTACGTCTACGACTGAGACAGTCTCAAGCGTTTACGGATTGTTCTCTGCCATCAGCCTAACCTGACGCGCGTCGCGTTCGACAGGGCGATTTCACGCCAACGCGTCTCTCGCCGCACATGACGCGTGGAACACTCGGATATCACTGCACACGCGAATACGAGTTCAAATTGCAAAACTCGGCGTGCTAGTAGATACGACGACGCCGCAGCGACGCCGACCGCGCGTCAGATTTCGGCCGGGATCTCCTAGATTCATGCGCCCCGGTGGATTACCGACGCGCGAGAGTCGAGTCTACGTCGCGCGATTGTTACACTGCACAATCATCAACTTACTGCGATTGTGTGTACCGCGAAGCTCGACGAGCGTCGCACGGGACCGGTTCACTGCGTGTCCACGGCACTCCTCAAATGGGTTAACATGGCGCCGGTTCCCGGCGGTCATTGCGCGGCGCTACTGCGCCGCCACTACGCGAGTCACGTCGCGACGCGGTGTATCCCCAATAGAGAAGTTTCTCATCCGAGGAACGATGAGAACGTCTCGCGGCACTTGCGGAATCAACGAGCTCGAACGCGTGACTGTGGCGTCGCTTGATTACGCGAGGAATGATCGCGCACTTGGCCCCGTGGCGTACGCGCCGGCGGCACGAACGATAATGCGTGGCGCGACGGCGCGAAATGTCCTCTGACCGTGCGGCGGTCGCCGGCGGCGCGGCGGCTCGACGTAAACAATCACCGAGCGATGCGCGGCTTTGAAAAACACGTGAAAAACTATTTGTAGGAATAACACGTGAAAAACCGTAACCGCTCCGTTGATTTTCACGGATACACGGCTATCATTCTGCCTCGGTAACAATTGGTCGATGCGATCGCTTTCTACGCGTGATATTCATCTCGACAAGTCCACGGTAGAAATCAACGGTATGATTGCGAATCGCGACAATTGCTTCAACGTACGAACGACGCGAAGATACACGGAATATTTGCCTCGCTCGACTAATCCGCGCTGAATAGATTGTTTACGACGCTATAGCGTTAAGCCCGTATCAGACTACGGATTGGGATTGGGATTAGATTGAAATTTGACCAATCAGAGTAAAAGTTACTGAACTTGGGATTAGTAAACTTTACTGTGATTGGTTAAATTTCAATCTAATCCCAATCCCAATCCGTAGTCTGATACGGGCTTTAGTCATTTCTCGGAATCGATGCCGGCGTTCGACGCCCGATATTGCTACGATTTTTGCGATCATCTTTAAAGCGCGAAGCGAGACATAGTCGCGAGACATACGCGATATTCGAATTTAGACACGGCAGACGATTATCAACCGCGAATACGACAAGGAATCTTTACGAAATTCGGAGCTTTGTGTATATTTGAAAAAATGAGAATTGGCACTCGATAACGTTGGCCGCGTTCGGCAGGAAAAGCTGCTTTGCAACTGTTGTAAAAATCCGAAATCTAATTGGCGTATAGCCATTGAAGGATTTTTACCATCTGGGAAAGTGAAGGTGGGCTACGTAGTTGCTACGTCCACGATATAGATGTGGCGGCGCTGCTTGGACGAAAGTCACTAGACCCTAGTGATTGGTCGATCGGTCGATGACTAGAGAAGAGGGAGAGAAGCTCTCGGTGCAAGTGCAGTTCAACCTCGTACCAGAATAAAACGGCATTCTCTCGTTCTGAATTGCAGAGATTGATCAAGTATTGGAGTGAATCTTCGGTATCGCGCGGTTCAATGCAAACGCGACTAAAAGAAATTGAAAGGCTGATCGGAGTTGATCGGAGTTGATCGACTCTGGTCGTCGTCGGTCCTCGGGGGTGGGGGGGAAGCATCGTCGGCTTCGGTGGGTGCCGCGAGCTGCCAAGGTGCCGAGCGCGGAGCGAGAATGTGACGCCAGCAAAGCGGATTGCGACTTCCGTCTCTGTCTCTCACCTCGCACAATGAAAGTACGCAAGGTAGAGTGAAGTGGGGACACGGTGTTGGCGGAAAAGAAAGAGGGAAGGTGGGAGAGAAATTGTCCGTTTCACGAGCCGTCATGGCTGAATCATTGTGAAGGCGCGCGCGGCGAGCGACGACGGCTCTTCGGTACAGAAAAGCGATAAGAAATGACGACGCGGGTGAATCATTAGGGTGGCCTGGAGCGAAGAAGAAGAGGAAGAACCGCGCGGCGCGAGTGACGATACGACGGCGGGTGACGGAGTGGCTCGATGCCGAAGCCTCGCGGCGGGTGGGAGACGTGATAATAGAGACGGTGTTTCGTGCGCGGGGGCGAAAACCGTGTTTCGGTGCCGCACGATGAACGGGTTAAGCCTGAGTGAACTGTGTTGCCTGTTCTGTTGTCCGCCCTGCCCGTCCAGAATCGCAGACAAGTTAGCCTTCCTGCCGCCCGAGCCGACGTACACGTTCGTCGAGGACGAGGGCTCCAAGTTCTCCATTTCCCTGTCGGAGCGCGCCGAGTGGCAGTACACGGAGCGCGAGAAGGAGTCGGTCGAGGGCTTCTACGCGAGGACCTCGCGCGGCAACCGCATAGCATGCCTCTTCGTCCGCTGCTCGGCGACCGCGCGCTTCACCATCCTCTTCTCCCACGGCAACGCCGTCGACCTCGGCCAGATGTCCAGCTTCTACCTCGGGCTGGGCTCGCGCATTAACTGCAACATATTCAGCTACGATTACTCGGGCTACGGGGTCTCGGCTGGCAAGCCGTCCGAGAAGAATCTCTACGCGGACATCGACGCCGCGTGGCACGCGCTCCGTACGCGCTACGGCATCAGCCCGGAGAACATAATACTCTACGGCCAGAGCATCGGCACCGTGCCCACCGTTGACCTCGCCGCGAGATACGAGGTCGGCGCGGTCGTCCTCCACTCGCCGCTCATGTCCGGCATGCGGGTCGCTTTCCCCAAAACCAAGAGAACTTGGTTCTTCGACGCTTTCACCAGGTAAAACCCACCTATTTCTCCCTTTAACACACTTTGCAAATGCATCTCCATATTGTAACCTAAAGCTTTTCACAAAACAACTGCTAATTCAGTTTAGTCACATTTTTCACTACATATTTTATACTCTCGTCGAAACATATAAATACTGAGTACATTTCGTTCAATGTTTGCTTTCCGCTCCTTCTATTTCAACACCTTTATGTGCCAAGTGATGAAATCAAGTCTAATGCCTAATCTACACTGTGTGCCCTTTGCGTCTCGAAACTTTCCATTTGGTGTGACCATTTTCCATTTCTTTATACAGAATAGAATGTTTCTAGATGCAGAGAGCACGTTGCAGATTAGGCTTCAAGAAATATCTAATTAAATACTTTTTGTAAACAATTACGTGTTGTAACTGATAACAGTGTATGTACAAGTTTGCGTCGGCGGTTTCAAATTAAATAAAGATCAAAAAAACGAAGAAAAATTAAAGTTTTGCACAACCAATCAATGGTGTGAAAAAGATTCATGTAAATGATTGACTAATTAGCAGACTGAATTTTTTGACAACACGCTCCGGAGTCAATAGATTTGGAAACTCTCGAGGATGTATATATTTTCATGCTGAATGAAAAAAAACAACCTGTGGGGTAAAATCGTTAATATCTTAAGAAGCTGCACAAGTGTACGGTCGAGTAAATATGTACTTGCGTCACATGAACGTGTACTTACGAAACCTACGTGTTGCACGATTTGCGTCGTAAAGCGTCTTTCTAATCGGATTTTACGATATCCGTCAATTATAATCTCGACATTTTGATACTAAGATTTTCGTTTCAAAATAATCTCGTTGTTCTACGTGTTTTCCTCGAAACAGATATTTTTTTCATTTGAAATAGTTTCCTTATATTTTTGCCAAAGATAATCTTTGCATATCGACGCCATTTTTTTCCACGACTGTTGTGAACGAGATAATGAAACCGAGCTTCGCTCGTAACATATTTTTCTCTTTTCGACAGCGTCAAAAGTTGCGTAATAACGTGTGTGTAAACAAATTTTATTGAAAGGTCGCAATTTTTAACTTTTAACTTTGTATCCAAAATAATTGTAATGCGCCTTGAAACAGGGGCGTAATTGTTCAACGTAAAAATTATGTTATATATCAACAATGTTTAATTACGTTTTCATATTTGTTTACAGCATAGATAAAGTGCCGAAAGTAACGTCTCCTGTTCTGGTTATTCATGGCACCGAAGACGAAGTCATAAATTTTAGCCACGGTCTGGCGATCTACGAAAGATGTCCACGAGCAGTGGAGCCACTGTGGGTCGAGGTATAGAGATAATTGATTTTTTTGTATTTTGTCTATACTTGCTATACTCTAAAATACAGACTTATTTAAACACAAAAACGTAAGCACCTTGCTCGATAAAGTATTGGAATATGTTGCGCTAGAAATGTGATAAAATGAGTATTGGGTGTTTTTCAGGGAGCCGGACACAATGATGTAGAGCTATACAATCAATACCTCGAACGACTGAAACAATTTGTAAGTGTGGAATTGATAAACTGACGGCGACTCAGCCTCTCCCAGAGTCAGGGAGGACAGGGAGGGGGCCATATGCATGCAAACAGCCAAGGACGTACCGTTTCCAACAACTCTAATACCATCAGTTCCATTTCGACGAGTTCTCCAACGGAGAAGCTTGTCTAGCAGTCGCCACCCACAGGGGAGAAGACACCTGTCCTTCCCTGTGACGAAGAATCATCTTTCGCTTCTGTAGATGATGTATTCTTCTATTGCGAACAGCAGTCTGTAAATCAGGAAACTTATTATTCAGAGTCATTGAAGAAAACGCGTTCCAAAGACGAGTATCCAAATGCCGAAGGTAATTCCAAGAAATCCAGTGTAAAATCGGAGAATAAGAAATGTAAGCAGAAAGATTCTTCTACATGCACAAAAGACAAAGACCAGAATAAAATCACCGCCATCGCCGAAAGAGTGGCCGATTGCCAGAATTTTCAATTAAATCATACTGGGAAGGTCGCCAAGAAACATACCTATCTACCAAAAAATTTGAAAAACCCTTTTGCTCACAGTCACAAAAATATCGTTCACAGAAGTTTAAAAAATTCATTCGGTCAAAGTCAGAAAAAGACAGATAGCCAAAGAGCTAAGTCGACTTTGATTGATATACTTGTGGAGGATTGTCGACAATGTGCGATCGGGGAGAAGTCGGTCGCATCATTTTCCAACGTTTCCGGTGATGTTAGAAAGGATGCAACTGATTGTAGAGGTACTCAGCCTGCGGAGAAAAAGTCTCCTGGGTCTCGATTCAAGTACAATTGCGTAGAGTCGGCGTTGGACTCGATTAACACTAATAAAGACAGCAGGCAACGTTATTACAATAAAATCTCGATTGTAGAAAATATTGCAAAGTTTAAAAGGCCCGATACAACACACGCCAAGACTACCGAATTCAAGAAGAAGTTCCCTTGGAATTGCACGTGTAGTAAAACGAAGAGAAATGTTGACAAGTGCAAGGAACAGGAGAAGAAAGATTCTGTCGAGAGCTCCGATTCCTATAATGACGCAAAGCAATTGAAAAAGAAAAAGCCTGCTTGTAGTCCGTTGAAAAAATTCGGCCGTTCGTCTCTGTCAGTGGGCGCGGATAAAGTCGCGATAAATTTGCCAAAGTATTCTCCTTGCGCAAGCAGATTAGCCGCGAGCTCAAAAATTTTGTCGTCCGATCGAGCGGCAGATCCAGAGAGTCCGCTTCACGTTCCACGCTCGAGGAGTCCGTCTCACGTCGATGTACAAACCGAGAACAATCCTTCGAAGCATTCGGAAAAGACGTCGATACAAGCGAGTTTATCTCTGAACATACAACAGTTTCAAAAGACCCGATATACTCTGCGTAGTAGGAGTGTAGGTGACAGCTGCGTAACTTCCCCAACCAGTGAAGCGACTACCGTCAGCTACTCGCCTACTGGCACAGAGATATTATCCCTGGAAGAAGTCGGGCCGCATACGTCGCGTACATCGTCGGGTGAAGGCTCAGGTAGTAGTTATTCGGAAGTCAAGGAAAAATTGGATGCCGAATGCTCCGACAAAGTCATAAGAGCGACTTTGGAGACCAAGTGTTAATGAAACGTGGACTCTCGACGACACGCCAAACACGTGTGTTACGCCATTCTTTCTTCCACGTATATACGCATATATACGTATATACGTATTTTACGTACTTTACGTAAAACGATGACACAGTTCCGTATGCGCGCGGTGTACCCGTTCGAGCTGTAATCGTGCTAGTGAGAAACTGTACACAGAGGCAAATATATACGACATACATTTATAAAATTTATTATATTTCTAGAAATGCGAGAGTATACATACTTGTGCATATTGAATATTCTTATCTACATATATACACACTCAACGCGCGCGTGTATTGCGTACACGCGTGGATATTAAGAGCCGTTTTTGCAAATTAGGCTACAGAACGTTGTTGCGACAGATGTGTCGAGTATTATTATTTTTATTATCCTCCTTAAAGTTAGGATATATCCAATGGTTCCCGTGTGGTTGTCGAAACATTTCTTTAACTCGGAAAATGTGACGAGCGTTGGCTAGCAAGAGTGCAGTGAAGAGATATCTCGCTGAATATCCGCATTATCTTAATTTATTTTTTAAATTAGTATTGTTACATTTTTTACTTAGAGCTTTTAATCCCTTTGCTGTAAAAGGCACATGTATATTTTAAGGAAGTTGCCTCTCGTTTACGGAAAGCGTATATATATATATATACGTCCTCGTAAGGTGTGTATGCGCGTGCCTATGTGTAATACATACGCACACGTGTAAAATTCAGAATCGAATTAGACCGGACGAGGGAGAATAATATACCCCGAAATTTTTTCAAGTCTTTTTTTCGGGCAGATCTGGTTCAGCGAGAAAATACGAATCTTTTCAAATTGCATGCTTTTGCAAGTGATTGGTATTCTCGATGCCAATTATGATGAACGATAGGTGTAACAGTAATGAGGGCATTTGTTCTTATATCCATGGTGAAGACATGCGAGAGGAGAATTGGAGATCTTCCAAGCTGATAAAGATTTTAGCACGCGGTGGTCACGGCATAGTTTGAAATGATCAAGTTGAGATAACGTTGAGCACGCAGTGCGTCCCGCAAGAATGTCTTTGTCGAAAGCTGATTAGAACAAAAATCTTGTCAACAACAATAAGAAATGCAAATAGCTAGGGACAATATTACTGCCAAACTTGACTATGAATTAATTAATTTCTAAGAAAGTGAGATAATGCATGTGAAGGACCTCGTCTACATAGATACGTTTCTCGTTAGTATTTTTATATCTCGGTGATGTAAATACAATACAGTAAACGATTTTTTCTTTATCGATGTATGCGACAGTGTAAGGCGGTTGCGTGGAATGCCAATTGCGTAGATAATCGTGAGATACACTCCTTTGCGTAAGGCAATTTTGCTACTTTTTAAGGCATTCTATAAATTGTTGATACTTTTTACCTGTCAAAATTGTTTATTGGATATCGCGATGTCAATGTTCGCGAAGTGAAAAAAAGTTCTAAGACGATCGATTTTACCCTCTAAGATAGCAAGTGATACATCGTAAGTGTAAGTCGGTTTTTACCGTTCAGGCTACTTGTGCCACAATGTCCTCGTAACTTGTTGGAAATGTTATAAATGGAAAAATAACAAAATGCGACAGACGTACGAAGAAGAGAAGAGAATGCAATTTGTTACGTAGAAGCAAGATTTTGCTACGCTTCGCACGGCATTCTTTTTTTTTTTTTTTACAAAAAAGCTTTGTTCAATCTACACGGTGATTCAAATATCTGTAACAGATCTGATGATGAAGACATTCAAGCAAGAATAGATTAGTGGAGTAATTTCTCAAATATTTCATTATATATCAAATGATACATGCTAGGTGTTAAATCTACAAAAGATATTTCAGAGATAGTTTCTTTGGTGAATTTAGTTCTTTTTGATTTTGGAAAATTGAAAAAACAAAGAATCTTGATACTCTAAGTAAAATTAGTCATATGCTGCAATATATATAAGAAATAAGAATGTCGTATAATACAACACATCATAAAATTGAGCGAAACATACACGCTGTGATACTAAGATTTCACTTGCTGAAATACTAAAAATCTTGGCAAGTGAGGCTCAAATTAAATCTTTATTAATCTTTTGTCAAGTCCACACAAATTTGATTATACTTTTGTTACAATGGGCCTATATCAACTTATTAAACACATTTGTTAAGTTAAAAATTTATAAAGGAATAATTTTATATTACTTTTATAATTAATGCCATTTTAAGCATAAGATTATTACTTTTTATATTTTGCTATTCACTACGCAATAAGTTATGATATTTTATAATACTTAATATTTAGGGATCTAAATGGTGCTAGGAAATCTCTTTGTATTTGTTGAGTTTAAACTCTAATCGATTTGTAATCGCTTATAATTCGGCTTAATATTTCAACATTTATGGATTTGGTTATTTAAGTTTGATAAACTTAATCTCTCTATACTTCTCGAAAATAATGGTACTATTTATTGTTAAATTATCAATATTGAGCAGCCTATTTGCATATATAAAATGATTAAAGTATCTTCTGAAATTGATAGAAATTAATATCGACACTTCACACGCACTTTGTTGCAATGAAATTGATAGAAATTAATATGATATTTTACCCGCACTTTGTTGCAATGCATTCATCAAATTCTTCCTTGAATGTCTCCAGATTTCGTTTTCATGGGCGATGATATTGTATTTGTATCGCATATTTAGCGTTAGATGTTGAATGCTAAATCCAATTTATTTAATACGCAAAATCTATTTAACATTGTGTGGCGGACTGACAATTATATTATCACATTCGATGTGTGATAACATAATGTTGAATGAGGTGCCAATAAGTCAATGCTTACTTTAAAACCACCATTCTGTTTGTGTTATCCAAATCTCCTTCGTTTTGCAAGGAACATATATACATATATTAACAGGGCCGGCTGTAGAAATGGGTAAAGCAAGTATCTGTAAGGTCTTGCGATAAATTTCAAAATTTTAAAAGCAGACGTAAAAAGCGAGCATATATTTCTTGTGAAATTTAGATATCGATAAGTCATTGTGACTTATTGTGGACTCTTCGCGAATTCAGTTGCAGCGGTCAGAATAAATAACGTCGAATATATAGATTATTAAAATGAATAAACGTTCGATTAATTTTTCACTATTCAGTGTGAAATAGATTCTGCCTTAAGAAAATTATAATTTGAGATTTGACTACTGAACATATTGAACATAAGTAGAAATAAGAAATATTTTTGCTAAAAACATTGCTCTCTAGATTTCATAAGAAATAATGACGTGTCCACGTTTTTTCCGAATACAGGACATTTTATAGTCTGGCGACAAACTTTCAATGCAGCATTTCGATTAAGAATGTGTTCTGGTAAATCTTTACCAATATCTACAGACATTAGTGCAATGTATAGATATCGATAAAAAGCTACAAAAATATTATTAAGAAAAATATGAACGGAGGTAATGGGAGCAGATAAAAATGACACAAAATTGTTCGATGCGGCAGAAAACTTAGAGCCGGTCTTGTGTATCCTAGTTCCTGTTGTCACATAGCAATTATTCAAAATGTACTCCATGCGTCGTGATACTCTATTGTGCATCCGTTTTTATTTCTTTTACTCCCAACCATCAGATTTCTATAACTGTCACTATTTCGATCGCTATTTTTATTCGCGATCTCAATATCGGTGATTAATTTAAAAGGCTAATTGTAAGAGATAGAATTCGCAATAAGGGACGAATTACGTTGTTGTTCATCAGAGAGATTTGTGTGTTTTTTTCTCTTAATTTTTAGTGTAAAGTACATCTCTCCCTCTCTCTTCTTTTCCTCTGTCCCTTTCTCTCTTACTTTTGCTCGCGTTTCTTCGCTGTCCCTCTCCTCCACGCGCTCGCAAGTGATCGACCGGTTTTGAACAGTACTATCGTCTTTCATGATCGCGTCGTCCGGAAAGAAACTGGTACTCTCGATACTTGAGGCGAGTACCGCGGATTCAACCGCGATGCGTTGATATTCGTAACTCTGTACATAATAGCGTGTAAACTAAATAATAAGAAAACAAAGCAACGTTACGTATTCGATGTTCTCTTCGGTCGTGTCTAATGTACTTACAAAGGGGAGAATCCGTTTAAGGGCAGAACAAAACGCGTTTTGATAGCGAAGATTATAGCTGTGATGTGATTGTTGAAGGTAAAAGTAAGAGGGAGACATTGTGTGTGAGAAAGAGAGAGAGAGAGAGAGAGAGAGAAGCTATATAGATGAATGCGAGAAACTTTACTGTAAACGCGTACGTTTGAGAGGAAACGGAAGAAAGGGACGGAAAGCTTGTCCTCGAACAAATATCGGAATCGTCGTTTATTTAGCGCATAAGAACATAATTAGGGAGATAATGACATTTGTTTCTTTACATAAGAACGCGTAGAAAGCGTAGAAACACCGCTAGATACATATACCCGAATAAAAAGGGTCATTTTAGAGTTTTATACTTCCATCGCACTTGACTTGGGCGTACTATCATCGCGCAGTACTTTACTAATTCTGTGGAAAACGTTAACACAATGTATAATTATGATGTAAATTACATGTTTAAGCACATATTATCAATGCAACGTGTTTTACTTCATTATCAAGGGGCCTGGGGTGGGACGTTGTCCACGAATTTGAAGAAGATTTTCTGAATATAGTATACGTATATTATTAGTTTTCATATCAAGTTAAAAAATTATTTATCAAGTCATTCGTACAGCCGCACCTTAAAATCGATTTTACTTCGATGATAATGCTGAAAAACTTTTCTCCCTGCTCGACACTTTTCCTTGTTAAATTTTTCATGATTGCGTTTGGACGAATTTATATCCTTTTTAAAAATTACAAAAATATTTACGAGCCACTATCGATGGATTCCTGTCGAGGCTTTTATTGAGAAAACGTTAATTTTAGAACCGAGAAGTCCTCTTTCCAAGTCCTTATTTCTCAAAGTGGGGATAATTACATGGTTTCAATAATTTCTCCCCCGCAAAAGTTTTTCCGAAATATTTAAAATGAAAAGAAATGTCTCGACTGGTAAAAGAGAAAGAGAGAAGGCTGACGAGGAAACTAAGATTTTTCTCGCAGATTCCAATCGTCGGCACATGCTTCTTATTGTTTTTCGAAAATGTAACGCACGTCTGCGCATGAATTGTCGCCGATGCACCACTTTGTCTCGAAGGTCAGTGCGTTTCTGCGACGAAGAAGAGAACGTTGTGCCATGTATATAGGCTGGTTCACCACTCCGACCGGCACCTCCGCGACTCACCTGCGCTGAAACCTGATGCCGACGATAAAAATGAAAACAGGTTACACGGCAGCTCGCGCTCGAATGGCCACGCTGTACCTCCGAGGAACAGACCAAGTCGCTTCGAGGAAGAGACTAGCTTTTTCGTTATCACGTCGCAAATTAATTATGCTTCCTCTCGACTGTGGATCCTTCAAATCTTTTCAAGTTGACTTTTCCTTTATGGAAATGTCAAGGCAGCCTTGACATTTATAACTTTTGTGTTGTAAATGATCGGAAAAATGAGTGGATCTTTATAAATCACATTCCCGAAATAAGGGGATAATCTTAATAAGCAAAAACTTTATTCAATTTTCACGAGATCCTCACTTGAAGCTTAGAGTTGTTGATTAAAAAAGTAAGAGCATATATTTTTTTATGAAATTTTCGGTAAGTAAGAATTGCCTTAGAATTGAGAATGTTTGGTACGAACTTTAATAATTTTTCTCGTAATAAATCGAAATATACCATCGGTAATTGGGCATAAGCATTTGATTATGCATTTGATTGATTTCCCTCGTGCCAATAACCTACAATCAATACGCACAACAGCCTAATAATTGCGGAAAATTATGATTTATCGTAGGACGATGAGCAGGCAAGCAAGTTGGAGATTGCGCCAAGGAGAATATTAGAAAGGATGGAGATTCTTTTTACCCCGAGAGAGAGAAAAAAAATTCCTCGTGGAATTCACAGATAATGGATTAACACATAGAAAAAAATTACCGGACTTCCAAGAATTGGAAAAAAAACAAAACAAAACAAGTCGGACATCTTTGATAGAATTTGTAGTTACTCCCCCTCTTTGACGGCAGAGATAATTAACAGTTTGAAAATGTACTTTTGAGATATCGATACGCCATAGAATGAATCAAAGAGAAGGATAATTAGAGGCGAAGCAGCCCGTTATCACCACGCCCGTAGCCGTACACGTAGTCGTCGCGCAGTCTGCAACGATACGGTCCTTCGCTCTTTGCCACACGCTGCTGTTCATTGTCCAGACTCGGTCCCCCGCGCATATACATATACTTGTGTACGGCAGCGCGTGTCGTATATACAAATCCACGCGCGAGCGCGCATAGGCATCTATTACGGCCCGAGGTAACTAGCGGCGAAAGAGAGCATGCACGCACATCGTTACGTCGTTACACCCTTTGTCTCCTAACGCACTTCCGTCGCGGGAGCGAAATTATCGCCGCGAGCCACCTCGGTCCGCGCGAGAAATCTGGGGAAAGCTCTCGCGACCGTCGATGCTTAGCCGGTTTTCGGTTGAATCACTGCTTACGTCGCGACTGTAACGTAACGTAACGGTGTAATAAGGGAGGCAAACACGGACAAACGTTAACCGGCGCTGGCGGAATCGGCCCTTAAATCGATTGAAGTAACCGCTCACGAGGGTCTCTTCTATGGCGGGGACCGAACGATCCGGTGTCCCGCCGATACGCAAATGACGTCCGTCTCGTGTTACAAATTAACGAGGAGCTCGCCGCCACGCAACGCCACGCTGCCGTGTCACACACTTGGCACGCGATCGCGTAATACGCTGCCGTTGTCATATTTTTAATGCGAAAAGGATTACGACGCGCGCGCTATCAGGGCGCGGCGATATTAAATGTTTGATTTATTCGGCCGAATTGTTTGAACTGCGCGATAACACATGGGCATGGCCAATTACTCCTCGGCGCTATAAACGGTCGCTCAATTTTAATTAATTACATTACCGCCCCCGCTGCCCGATTAATAGCATCCGCCTCCCTAAATATCCCGCCGCGTGTGGAGTTTTGAGAGGAAATTTGTATTCCAAATCGGTCCTCTTTCGCTCGTCAGACTTTTCTCCTCGCTTTTATAACTCGACGCGCGAACGGCGGGATTAAATTAGGAACGGTGAATTATACAGTTGGAAATTTCGCCGTAACCACTCGCGATCGATCGAATTAATCACCGATCGGAAGTTCGTCGAACCCTGGTCGAAGACACCCCTCCGCGACTTTGTTGGTTGTTTAAATTAAGGTCGCGCGATGATACGAAAAAAACGGACGGATTATGGATCCTCGGTCGCGAGAGAAATTGTTACTTTGGAAGTCAATTACGTGACCGTCTCCGTCTCGTTGCTTCCCTGACCAAAAAAAGTGGTCAACAAACAGGTCCGCGACGTAAACGTAGCGGCGACGCGGTGCGTGGCGCGACGTGACGTAGGAGGGGCGGGGGGGGGGGGGGAACGTGTCTCGACACCGCGCGGCGCCCAGCGCGCAGGCGCACCGCCGCCATGGTGGGAGAAAGGAGCCGCCGTCGGCGGCAGTTGCGACTCGAGCGGCGAGCGGTGTGCGTGTCGTTCCGTCCGGTACGGTGTTTTCTTCGCGCCGCGGCCGGAGACTCTGCGTGTACGACGCGCCCGCGTGGCTCTCGCGATTTCTCTTTTCTTTTTCTTGGTTTTATTTCGTGCGTGCGCGCGCGCGCGCGCGCGACGGCGTGCATTAGCGGCGAGGAGCGGATCGTAGCTGGCGGCGCCGCGCCGGATTGTGGAAACGACGTTGCCGGACGTTATCGAGAAGTGACGCGCGTTAAGAGGCGGAGTGGTGTTCTAGTGTTACACTTTATTGTGCCAACATCGGTTTCTTCCCCCCCATTTAACGGCCCCTCGCCCTCCGGTTTGTGATCTCTCTCTCTCTCTTCCTTCCTCCCTCGGCGGGCTCCTTCGTCGTCGCACGAAGGAACCGGAGCCTTGTGGGACGCGGCTGCACGGAACGCTGGGAACGACCGTTGGCCTGGAGGACTTTGGCGGCGCGTGGATACTCGGCGTGCGTTCGTCGACTCTCCGATTGGCTCCGTCTTCTCGGTAAGTCTGGCTCTCCGTTCTCTATTGTCCGGCGGGAACGCTCGTCGATCTTGCCCCGCGACACCGCGCGATTTTCACCGGCCTGCGCTTGTCTCGTGCATTTTGCGCATTTAATTTGCGGAGCTGCGCGTTTTGCGCCGCGGCCTCCGCCATATTTTAAATCTGACAACGTTGACGATCAAGGAGTTTCGAAATGTTGCTCGCTTGAGAGGGATCGGTCAACCGAAAGAGTTGTAACGGGTTAATCGCGTGCGTGGCAGGCGTCAGGCGGGAAACAGTGCCGCGGTGTAGAAAGTACAGACGCGACGCGACAAATTTACGATCGCTCGGCTTTTGAACCCGCGCGCAATTTACATATTGTTTTCTCGCCGCGACTTTCATATTTAATGCGCGATCTTCCGTTCCGAATTATGCAAGTCGAAGTGTACAGGAGCTTCTGCGATCGCAACGAAATAACGTTGCCATTTATGAATTTTTACGTACCGAAGTTGGCGAGTTTCGTTGCCTTTATGGCAGTATTGGCGATTCGATTCGTCGTGTATTCGTTACATAAAGTATTCCACAATTTCGCCGTCTCGATCTTTTCTTGATAAAAATAACGATAGCTCTCGAGTCGTAAGTGAAAAGTTAATAAAAGTTGCGATAAATGATACGCGTGTGTGCATTCCCTTGATAGTCTTGTTAAAAAACTCGACTATGCATTTCTCAGAGAATCTATCATTTAAGATAGTTTCCAGTTATGATAGAAAAAAAATGTGTGCTTCAACATTCCTGACGTACCGTGAAATATGATATGTGTATAGCGATGTAGAAAGTTGATTCTCTCTCTCTTCCTTGAAAATGATCTCGTCACGCAGATATTTCGCAAAAAGGGTGGGAACGTATTACGTGCGTTCGCTTTAATTACACGTTGAATCTTGTAGTCTTTCGAGTCTCGTGTTTGCTCCAAATTTAAACGTGCATAGCTTTGAAACACGGAGTATCGACGAACGAAAAATATCAGATACACACACACACACAGTTGATAAATTTGTGTTACATTTCACAGATATCACATGTCCCAAACGGTCCACACAAATTTTCCTGTTAATTTAACATAACGTGGATATGTTAAATGCCCACACTAATACTCCGTTAATATTTTAACACCAAATAAATGCAAATCTCCAAATAATTTGAAATCAATTTTGTGTAAAATTTATTAACATATTTTGAATGAATTTTAAACAATGTAAGTTTTACATCTTACAGATGTAATAAGTCAAATGACGGTTCGAAATCACTCCCACTTATGTTATATAGAATAAAAACAACATTTTCTTGTGTAAATTTTAACAGATAAATTTTCTTACTAATAATATAGAACATATGTATTGTGTCAGATTACAAATAAGTGCACTTTGTGTGGTTTTAACATTTCTTTTCAGTTATTTTAATAATTTTACACTTGAGGTCAATTAACGCAAGAGCAATATGTTAAATTAACACATGTTAAACATTTAGCACGCAAATTTTAACCGGCATTTTTTGTATTACAAGAAAAGACAAATTTTCCAACTGTGCAGTAAAAAATACAATGTTAATGTTAACATTTTTGACATATCCCGCAAAGTTGATTCTCTCTCTTCCTCGAAAATGATCTCGTCACGCAGATATTTCGTAAAAAGGGTGGGAATGTATTACGTGCGATCGCTTTAATTACACGTTGAATCTTGTAGTCTTCCAAGTCCCGTATTTGCTCCAAATTGAAACGTGCACAGCTTTGCGATTCAAAGTACTGATAAATGAAAAATATCAGGTACATAGTGAAAAATTAAACGTTAATGTTTTTTCACATGTCCCAAAAAGTCCACTCTAAATTTTACGTTAAAATAACATTCATCGCGTGCGTTGTTTTTTGAGAAATTCAAACTGTTAATTAATTAACACTATACTTTGCACTTATGTTCACGTTTTAACGTTAATTGTGATGTAGTAAAAACAGACAGAATAGGGAAACTGCACGAATAGTTAGAAATTAGAATAGTTAAAATAATTTTGAAGAAATGTCGATACTACATGTTTCGGTTGATTTTGTGAAATAGTTTTGTTAAAAGGACTCAAGATAATATTCAACTTTTAAATCATCATACATAAAGTTATTACGTTAACATAAATGCAACACATAAAAATGTTACGGAAATAATATCATCTTGGTTTTATGTTAATTTTACATTGAAATAATAATGAAATCTTGATAGCACAAGAAAATTTTCACATTTGAAAACACCATTTTTTACTGTGTGGTTGTCTCAATAATCTGGATATTTAGTTTATCGCGACGGGGAAACCGCTGAAGGCATTGTAGTGTAGAAATTGGGCATTTTTTCGGTATTAGTTTGGACATTAGACCTTGCTGAGGCAATATAAAGATAAAATAAGGTAAGATAAAACAAGGTAAATAAGAACAAGTAATGCCTACTGGGCATTAGTGGACATTGGCGTACAAGATTTTGGTCAGCGGTTTTCCCCTCGGTTTAACGCTTAAAATTAAAATCCACAGCAAATACAATTGAGCGAATTATTTGTTTGTGGCAGCCCGTGACGTTAACGTTTAATTGAAGCAACTTGGTTATTTTTAATTCGACGTAATTTTTTTCTCCGTGTATCTCCCTTTTTCCGTCCTCTCGCAAATCCTCTAGCGTCGAATGTGTTTCGCGTTTAGTGAAGATGCGAGGCGCGGGTAGGGAAAGGGGATATAACTAATCACACGCACGATATTTGATTAACTTTGTTAGAATTACTTATTCTTCGCTCGTGACGGAAAGAACAATCGGATAATGGATGGCGAATTACACAAGCGAGAAATGGCATCGTCAGCAATTCTGTCCCTTGAATTAATCGTCGATTAAATTAATCAAAGTTTAGTCCAAGTCGCCCCGGAGGTTCCGAACGTGGGGCCCGTTGCGTCTCTCCCGCAATTAGGAATGCTGGCAGCGTCGAAAGCAACGCGCGACGCTGCGCCACTCGACGCGGCAACCGACGGGGCTCGTTCATCCTCGTTGTCGCGTTGTCCCTAGTTCCCTTTGTCATAAATAAATACACGCACGCAACGGTGATGCCCGATATCGCGCGCGCGCGCGCGCATACTCCTGCTTTTTTTTTATTTTGAGTGTCATTTTTCGTTTTCCTTCTCTCTCTCTTCTTTTTTTCACCAACGCGTCCATCGATTGCAATCGTTGTTCCGACAAGAGCAATTTGTCAAACAAAAGTTCGACCTGGGTGACGTTGTAGGCTTTTGCGAGCGACGCGAGTATACACGATAAAAGTCGCGTCAGGCTGAAAGAAGTTGACGTTTAGCGAAGTTTCCGCGTCGATTCGGGGAGCCTGGAGTAATAGCGATTTTAACGTAGGTAAATAAGCCTCTATCTTATTAAATCTCGGAAAAGGAACGGAAAGTAAAGACGGTCGTGCGAGGGATTGATTTAACAGAATTAGACAATTGTAGTTTTTTTTTCAAAACAATGTTTGCAAAGATAAAATGAGGAAAGCGAGGCGGTCCATTAAAAATGTTAAAAACGAGAAGTAGTTATCCGTAACAAGAAAAATAACAGCAAATAAATGGTAAATTAGATAAGAGTGTGAAAAGAGAGCTCGAGTTGCTGGCATAAGTAAAAATACAGAACAGCTTGGTGAGTTTTCCTTTATTAATACGTCTAATCGATACAAGTATTTTTGTAACTATCACATCCACGTGGACGGTATTTTCGGGCTGGTTCATTCTGGGATATGAGTATGGATATTTCATTATAGAAAAATTAAATTAAATTTGATTAAAATTAAAGGAAAGAAACCTTGCACGTCGTTGATATTTTCTAACATCTCTTTCGAATGTTTCCGTCAAAGAAAATTGGACTCGAAATTTAGGAACGAGTCACGTATTTGATGATAACACGTGTATAGAAATATTTCTTATCGTCGAGATGTCGATAACTGTAAGATATTTAGACGCCACGAGATACGTAGGAACGATATGTATAACGTAATGAATGAAGACGTTCAGTTAACGAATACGGTGGGGCGAGCGCGCTTGTTCCAATGGTTTATGAAGTTTTCTTGCGTCGCGAGAGCAGCCACGCCGTGACCACCACAGCTTATCGTTCTCGAACACGCGTCGTTACGTTCGAGTCACGGGGCCCCTCCGGCTAAAAGCTCGGAACCGGTTTCGAGCGTACAGAATCGTGTTGAGTAGCCGGTCGACCGTATGCGCACACGCGCGCCACGACTTTCTAAATTTCCGTCGTGCGCATTAGGTCCTACGATCAGGCATTGCATTCCCATCCTGGTTTTTTGTCTGGAAAAACACGGAAAATCCGAACTCGACGGAAAACCATTCTTTACCTGAAGAACTCTGGCAACTCTTACAGAGTTCCATCGTGACACTTTCGTGTTGAAATCGCCTTTCCGAACATTTTCCTTTTATATTAGTGTTTAAGACTCGCTTCAAATCTTTAATCTTCAGTTTTTAAGCGTCGACACGTTTTATCCCTACGACAGACTTTTTCTCGTAGTTTCTTTTGAAAAGAAGAGGATCGACATTTTATTTAATACTTCATATAAAATACTTATATTAGGAAAGTCTTCCGCTTTTTTCAAGTTTAAAACGGTATTCTTATTTTCTTTCTTTCTTGTACGAACAAGAGAAATAGAAGTAAACAATTTAAATAATTCAATTTATCTTAAAATTTTATCCAAAATTGTTTGCGTAGACGTGTGAACGAAGGTCTGAAAAACCCGATTCTTAGGAAATCTTTTCCCAAGCGGACATTTTTGAGGAGATATCCTGTTATCGTTCGATTCGATATCTTGACGTGAATTCCGGTGATTGTTGAGAAACGAATTTGACGAAATCACGGTTAAATTTGTTAGAAGAACACGAGTGGAAGAAAAATTCAGTTGTGTTTATTGTGAAATGTTTAACGAAAGTTATTTCAAATAGCATCATGTAGATATGAGATAAG